AAGGGCTCTGAAGCGGGATGGCCCTCCGCCTACACTGAAAAGAGAACAGACCACAGCCTTACTTACAGCCAGATGGCTGCCCAGGTACTCTGCTTGGGAGGTCAGCTTGCTTTCAAATTATCCCGCTCACTTGAGACTGTTAAAAAGGCTCCAGATTTATCAAAGCCATGTCACCACTGTTTCTAGAGTTGAAGTTCATAGTGCAATGAAAGTCTCATAAATGAAACTAGCAAAAGAGTTAAGATTATTTTGTTAAAATCTGGTAGATCCTGATGTAAATATGCCGATAAATTCTTAGAAACATGGCACACATGAAAGAGCTAAAACTATACTTTAAAAATAACAGAGTATGATTTAAGAATACTCAGACTAGAGGCTTCGGTGAGCTGTTTGAGGGAAAGGCGTGAAGTCAGGACTTAGATAGACAGATTATAAAGGAAGTCAAAGTAAGCAGAGGAAAAGGGTACCAAAATGACAGCTTCAGAATAAGAAGTAAGGGAATAAAGAAAACAAAGTTGTGTGTGTGTGTGTGTGTGTGTGTGTGCACGCATGCGTGCACATGTGCATGTATTATATGATAAATCCATGGAAAAAGGACTCACAATTTGCAAAGGAATAATTCATGGTCATACCACTTTCTGTGTCCAAAGCTAACTTGATTAGTATCAGAAGGAAAGTCAATGTTTAAACAGTCCTTCCCACATCTGCTACTTCCATAATGCCTATGCAACTGTCATAAATTAAGAGTAGAGAAGGGCACAGGGCCCATTGTCAAAACAAACAGGCAATTCTGGGTTCCAAGTTTCATATGATTTTCCTTGAGCCTAGAGTCGTGAAGACTCCTTGTCCTAACGTGGCCCACTCTAGCACTGTAATGGGATAACCCACTCACCTGGATCCTGGCCACAGCCCTGCCCTCTGTGGCAAGGTACCTTGGCAGGGCCGGGTCATGAGAAAACCTTGTCTCTCTAATGATCCAGGCCTTGGGAAAAGAATATGAGCTCTTAATATTAAGTGATTATAGCTAGTGACACTAAAAGAAAACCAACACTATTAACTGCAAGGGGTTTACATTGAGTGATGTCTTCTGTATTATTCAAAGTTGTCTATTCTGCATAAAAATCTTCCTCACTGACTCTATTCCACACTCCTCAAGGCCAGCAACTATGTTTTGCACTTTCTGTACCTCATGTAGTTCAGAAAAGCATGTCCATGGTTTTGCATCTCTTATTTCTTTGCTTCATAAGACCAGACCAACAAAAGGACCCAGACAGACTTGCCTGGCCAACTTTTGTTGTCTGTCCTTCCTGCTTCTCAATTCCATATGGTTCAGCCCTTCAGGTGAGACAGGTGCTGTCTCTTCCTCTTGCATAGTGGGGTATGCTTGTATCATCTGGTGATTAGGCCTTGAGCCTAAACTCAGTGCTACACCTTGCCAGAAAGCTCTATACTGTTGTTCAAAGCACTGGCCCAGCCAATAATAGAGTGGTGCCTTGCTTCCCAGACCTATTGTCCTGTGTTTATTCATCATTCAGTGATGTCATGAGAAGGTCCAGGCAGGATTTAGAAATGTCCAGTGTCCCTAGTCTTACCAGCACTATAATCTCACTATAAACTGCAAATATACTTGTCTTTTAACAATGTCTTGGATACTTAGAGGTAATCGCAGATAGAGAAAGGAGATATGGCTGCCTCTCATGTTCCCAGGACTCTGCCTGGTGGGATCCTCTCAACTCTGTGTCCCTTTTCGTCTTGTTCAACTTCCAACCTGCAGCATGGCCAGTGGTTGAGCCCCTTACAATCCTTGAAAGGCTTATCACCTTCAATAATGTCTATTACTGATGTTGGCTCTTTCTCTTAGATTTACTCTGCCCAGGAAAGCTGTTACTTAAAAGAATCACTTCAAATTCAGTGCCAGATGTCCTCAGCTAGGCCATGTCTATGGACTAGAACAGTGGAGTTCATCTGAAGCTCCCTTTTACTTCATACGTCCTAAGTCAGTCTACCATAGCTCACTTTGTATAGCACTTGGGATGAATCATTTAGAATTAGGACTTCCATTTAGTCATTTAACAAATAATTATTGATCCTTTACTCAGTGCCAGATATCAGTCTGGGTGCTGAGAATGCAGCAGTCAACAAAACAATGTCCCTGAACTCAGAGACAGTGGCAGGAGACAGATAATAAGCATATAAACAAGTATATATCATTTAAGATAGTACTAATTGTTAGAAAATAAATCCACCTGTAAGGCTAGAGTGACTCAGCAGTTGAGTGCTATATAGATAGGGTTGCTCTGAAAGGTCTATGAGGAGGAAACATTTGAGCTGAGACTGAAAGATGAAAACTATTTGAGTGATGATCTTAGGGAAGACTCTTCCAGGCAGGAGAAAAGAATTTGCAAAAGCTTTGAAACAGGAATGAGTTACGCATGTTCAAGGAACAGACAAAAGACTTAGTCCTTAGAACATAGAAAGCAAAGGAGAAAGTGTAAAAGATGATAATAGGAAAGACAGGCTGACACCCCAGGCTGACACCCAATCACAGAGCATCCTTTAGGGAATTTTAATCTAGGGAATGAGCTGTGGTTTTTGTTTTTTGAGATGGAGTCTCACTCTGTGACCGAGGCTAGAGTGCAGTTGTATGATCTTGGCTCACTGCAACCTCCACCTCCCAGGTTCAAGCGATTCTCCTGCCTCCGCCTCTGGAGTAGCTGGGATTACAGGTGCCCGCCACCACACCTGGCTGATTTTCGTATTTTTAGCAGAGATGGGGTTTCACCATGTTGATCAGGCTGGTCTTGAAATTCTGGCCTCAAATGATCCGCCCGCCGTGGCCTCCCAAAGTGCTGGGATTACAGGTGTGAGCCACTGTTCCTAGCAGAGCCATGTTTTTAACAGTTCACACTGGCTAGAGCAAAGAGAGCAGAATAAAGCTGGCAAGAAGGGAAGCTGAAGGCAGGTGGAGAAGCTGCTGCAGCAGTGCCTGTGGGAGCTGGTGTTGGCTTCTATCAGGGTGGCAGCAGGAGAGACAGTGAGGAATGGCCAGGTATAATTGGTATTTTGGTGATAGGATTAACAGGACTGGCTCATGGATAAGATATAGGGGAGGAGAAAGAAGACAAGCCAAGATTTTTGGCCTCAGTAGTTTGTGCAGAAAATCAGATACTTGTGTTCTCCCAGTTAAGTTTGGTATGTCTACTGGGCATTAAAGTGGAGACATTGAATGAATTGTTTAATACAGCAGTCTGAGGGAAAAAATTAGGGCTGAATATGTAAAACTGTGGGTCACTAGCTACTTCATCTGCTAGATTCCAAGGTCAAAATATATCGACCATATCGTCTTTCTAGACTCCTCACCACTTTATGATTATCAAAGCATCACTTGATAATTGTTAGACATGCAACTCTCTCGTATCCCAAATGGTTACAGTAATTGCTAATCTTTAGTTTCCAACCAGATGTTCTTATCTTTCCAGATGATTGATAAACTGTCTCTACATGCATTGTTTTCCAAGTCTCCTCACATTAGTTAATACTCATCTCCAGCCTCTTCATCCCCACTGCTTAAAACCCAGCTCACGATTTACATCCTCCAAGACACCTCCTGAGAAATGTTGCCCTCTCAGGGGATGATTTCATTTTGTTTCCTCATCAAATAGGCAGGCATGCCCCAACATGTGATCCTGAACCTTTCTTTGAATTCAATTGTTTAGAGTATCAAATGGAACTTCACACAGAAAAAAGGCTTATGAACTATAGTGGTTTTTTTTTTTTTTTTGAGACAGGATCTTACTCTGTCACTCAGGCTGGAGTGTAGTGGTGCCAACATAGCTCACTGCAGCCTCAAACTCCTGGGCTCAAGCGATCCTCCCACCTCGGCTTCCTGAGTAGTTGGGACTGCAGGCATGCACCTCCATACCCAGCTGATTTTTAGATTTTTAATAGAGATGAGGTCTCCCTATGTTGCCCAGGTGGTCTCTAACTCCTAGGCTCAAGTGATCCTCCCACCTCAGCCTCCCAAAGTGCTCAGATTACAAGCGTGAGCCACTGCACTTGGCCATACATTACAGTTCTTATTTGATAAGCCAACAACAGCCCATTTACTCATTGAAAAGAGCTCTACAGCGTGGAGATTCAGAATCTGAAGTTCCAAGGTGAGTGGGGATGGTCTGGAGCCTTCTGCTGCAACAAGGAGATAAGGTCCCCATGACAGGACCTGTGTCCACAAGTGGGCATTAACTTTGGTAGAATAAGAGCTACAGCTCTTCTTCCCAAATACAACTTTCAAATTACCTCATTTCTCTGGGTTCACTTGCATTATTATTATGGGAACTAGATTTCCATATCCATCAAGGTGGTTGTTTTTCACCTGGGTAGAATGGCCATGGTTTGAAAATGCAACCATCACATAGCATGAAAAGACTGGGGGCACTTTGCGGCAAAAATAAAAGGTGTTAATATGCTAGAGAAAGCCACTTTTGTACATTTTGCATTGATGTTTGTGAGGACCCTTCACCACATGGAGGGGAGAAGGTTAACTTAGAACAAAGCAAGTAGACAAAACCTTGCTAAAGAAAAAATTTAGGGAACAATTCTATCATTTAGAAATGGCCCAGAGATAGCATTAATAACTAGGTGATGATTTACAAAGTTCAATGAATATCAGTTTACATGATAAGAAATGAAGACAAATCTATCATTCTATCTGTCAATCTACCTACTTATGTATTAGATGGTCAAAACTGGTATTATATTGCTTTTGAATATTTAGAGATAATTTTCTATCCAGGTTTTTAAAAATGAATCATTATACCATCCCATTCATGATCAGTCTGCAGTTGTCAACTCTCAAAGTAAGATTGTTCATTTAAGAATATTTGAGGGCCACCCATTTATAGTACATTTATTAAAGGCACCAATTTGAAAAAGCAATTGAAGTCAAATATGAAATTTATTTTGTGTTTTTATTGAAATCATAAAGAAGAGAATATTCTTACCAGTTGCCTTTTGGATTTATGAACTGCTGCACTGCATAGCCAAACTGTTCACTTGAAGGACCGGAAAATATTTTTGCTTCTGGGAGACCAACGTTGTATGCCAAACAACAATTTAAAATGCCTATTAAGAAAAATATGAAACAGCACATATTTACAATTCATAAATAAAAGTGTGTCATATAATTCTCGAAGGCCATTTTTAAGAAAACTTGCTTGACCTAATAATTATTACTTATCAACGATTACCCAGAAAAAGTAACTACTGCTTTTTAAGTACTTATTTGGAGGCCTGGCACCAAGCTAAATACTATATATGCATAATTCATTATATTATTAATCTCTTCACGGCAACCCTAGAAGATAGTTACTAATATTATCTTTGTTTTGTAGAGAATTTTCAGATTCCAGGGGATAAGCATATCTCACAGCTGGAAAGAGGTAAGGATGAAGGCAAAATTTGAACACAAGACTTAAAATCACTAAATTACTTCTAAGTATTCTTAAGTAATTTGAGTTATATTTGTCTTTCCCAAAACAACAAGCCTCTGAGCCACCCAAGGGCAAGGGCTGAAGAGTATCATCTATTTATTCTGAATCACCTTGAATATCTTGACATGGACTCTATATGAAATATCTGTTGAAAAGGCATTGATGACTACATCAAAGGAGACAGAAAATCACAGCTCGTTGAAAATTGTATAATTTTCTTTCAGAAGGGATCATTATCATTTTTGAGGATGAAAATGTAGGGATTGGTGTCATATCTTTTCTATTCCAGTGGGAACTGTCAAAAGTGGTTTTGTTTTTGATGCTTCTTTCTGAATGATTAAGAAATGCTAATCATTTCAAAAAACAGAACAAAGACCAAGGCAGACAAAGTCTTGATAGACTTTATTTTTTTTTTTAATTCTTATTTCTCATGGAAAGGAAGTGAAGGAAAGGATAAGGTAAATCATGTTTCTCTGTCTGGCACTGACAGCATTAATGCTGCCAGCTCTTCATCCTACAGAAAGAAGGTTGTGTGTATATTAATGCTCTCTCTGGAGACGGGAATGTGCCTCATGTTGCTTAAGATCAATATTTACCTTCGCAGACACTGAAGACAGAATGGACTCTTTAAAATTGACATCAAAGTTCTATTAAAATGTGCTGTCACAAAGAAATGTCCTACTTTCTAGGCAGCATTACAAGTGCACAGTGTTTCATATGTCTATTGTTTTAGGCACTAAAAGGTCAGAAGAAAAAGGCTTGCTCTTCCATTGGGCCTCTGCATTTCTGGGAGCAGATTCTGTAGAGTGCTCCGAAAGGATAATGAAGTCAGTGATGAAGCAACAGGGACTTAAAGTAGTTAACGTGCCTCTGTAAGTGCCAAAATCACTCTACCAGGGATTTGTCCACACAAGGAGTTCAGCTCTTTATTTCTTACAAATAATGTGCTGCCATGAAGAGAAATATAAATACTTATTCTGAAATACTCTATAGCAAAATCTACAAAGCTTAACATCTGCAAATTTTCTCCTTAACATCTATTTTTCATATGCACCATTGCTACTTTTTATTTTTGAATAATAAAAAATGCAAAAGAAAGTAACAGCAAATTAAGCAGAGAACCAGAATTGGCATGCAGAATACTGGTGTTTTCAATCAACATTTATCTTCACCCCATTGTGGAGAGCTCAATAAATGGTATTTGAATATGTTATCAATCATCCAACATACTAGCGTGGAGAGATGATGCCAAACTGCTTTCACTTTTAAAATACCTAATGCTGGAAAGGACACATGTGACTGTATATACAACGACCTCATTTTCCCCCATTAATTAGAACTGGGCAGATTATGTAATGGCAGGAAATTATGATGGAGTTCATTTTATCATTTAGCAGTTCAATTTTATCACATATATAGGCATATATGTGTTACTATATATGCATATATGTATATTATTAACTTAGGTCTTGCCATTGAACTGAGAATAAAATCCAGTTTCCTCACTGTAGATTCAAAGGTCCTTCATGATCGAGCCCTGGTGTATCTTTCTGACTTCACTTCCCACCACTCTCCTCCTCCATCCCTGTGTTCCAGTCACACTCACTTTCCTTCGGTTTTTTGAACACATGTAGTTCTGTCTGCTCATGCGCTTTGCAGCTGCCTGTTCCACTGCCTATAACATCCTCCCCCAACACGGCATGTTGGACTTTGCTCAAATAGGTTTCTGCTCTCCTTCTCCCCTCTGTGTAGCAGCAGCACCCTTCTTTATCACCGTATCACTACTGGAGCAATTATCCAAAATTATCTTATATATCCATATTATTTTGTCTGTGCCTACTAAAATGTAAGCTCCTTGAGAAGTCAAACCTTGTTTCTTTTATTCACTCTTACTTTCTCAGCACCTATGATAATTTTTTTAATAAAATGCATTTTAATTACTATGTGTTCTTCAATAATGATTTGGAATATAAAGAAAACTGGAGGGAAAAATCATTCATAATCTTTTCATTCTACTGTAAGTACAGTTAATTCAGATGTATTTCCTTCCAGTATTTTTCCTCTATTTAAATTATAATGTTTATTCCAAATTGCATCCTACTGTTTCTTAATGCTTATGTCTGCCTATGTCAGAATCATCCTGACTCATTTGCGTGCCACAACAATCCTGTGAAACAGCAAAACCAAGCTATTATTAACAAATTACAAATAAAGAAACTGAAACTCATGACGGCTAAATGTCTTTCTTGTGCAATGTCACCCACTCTGAGTCTAGGTTTGGCTTATCTCTCAACTTTATTGTCCAGAATTTCTATTAATAAATGATCTGCTCATTTTTACTCACAAAGCATGTCCTTCGTTATCACCATCCCTTCATTTCATTGATACTAAATCTCCTCTTTTCTGCTACTTAAATATTGCCCTTTATATCCTGCCTCTTTTGATAAATCTGGACAATCTCAAGTCTCTATACTTTTCTCTTAATATGTATTTACAACTCAATTCTCTGTCATCATTTCACACTTGGCATATGATATCTAAATAGCTCATAAAAATTTAATGGAAGTATTCTGTCTAATTCAGCATCTATTTCTTCTTTGCAATCCCAATGCCTGTATCTTCTGATGTCTGTCCTCATAGCTCAACTGAATCATATGGATAATGAGAACCATATTTGGTTCACCTTGTTTCCTTCTCCCAAACCATGCCCATGTGTCTATACATACTTAAAAAATGGACCATTCAACATATGTTTATACAGCTCCTTTGTACCAGGAATTTTTTAAGGTACTGAGGATACTGCAAATAAATAAAACTAAACTCTCCCTGCTCTCTTTGCATTTCCATTATGGTAATTTTACTAAAAAGATGGCATCAAAATGTATAAGTGTTGAAATAAAGAGTGGTGAAAAGAGCCTTGAGCTCAGTATTGAGAAGAGGGTAAATCTAAGTTCAACGGTTTCACAGAGGAGGTAGCAATTAATCTGGATCTTGGAGGACAAGTTGGAATTCACTACATAAAGAGGAAGGCAAAGTTCATCCCAGGCACCAGAAACATCATGTTAAACAGGCCTAGGGTGTGATAGAGAAGAGTATGGCAATGGTGAAAAGTCTGGCACAGAAAGTCATAGGTTGCTTCATTAATCTATACATTTCTAGTTCTCTATGAGATGCAGTGAGTCTTCAACTGACTTGGGCTTTACCAGGAACCTATTATCACCCACAGTATAAATTTTCCTTCTTTGTCCTCATGTGAATGCCTGGAAATGCAATAATTGCATAGCAAACTCAACATATTTAACAAAGGTGATCTTGTTATACATGTGTTGACTATAACCAGGCCAAAGTATTCCAGTAAATCTCACCAAAGCTTACACCAAATACAAACATTTTACTCATGTAGAGTTAACTAGTTTCCTCTATTTTCACACTATAAAAGAGATAATGTTTCATCCTAGATTATAACAGGCTGATTGCCATTTTAATATCCATAGGTAAACCAGATAATCAAATACAAGTTAACTACTGTAGATTTCTTATTTTTCTTAGAGTCTGAGGCAGGAGGATAGCTTGAATCCAGGAGTGTAAGACCATCCTTGGCAGCACAATGAGACATCATCTCTATAAAAAATAGACAGTTAGGTGGGCATGGTGGTGCATGCCTGTAGTTCCAGCTACTTGGGAGGCTGAGATGAGAGGATTGCTTGAGTTCAGGAGGTCCAGACTGCAGTGAGCCATGAACGCACCACTGCACTGCAGACTGGGTGACAGAGGTTCTGTCTCTAAATCAAATAAACAAAAATTTACAGGATCTCCTTTTCTGAGGATTCCTGACCATCTCTGAAATAATTTTTTTGGAAAACATTTAATAATTAATTTTAATAAATATGAAATGTATTCTACTTTCTTCTGGAGCCTAATTTTAAGTTATAATTCAAAAGAGAAATATATGATTGGGGATTGAATATAGTTAACCTACTTGTGTTCTAAAAATGTAGCGAAGGCTAAGGATGGCAGCTCACACATGTAATCTCAATGGCCGACTGAGACAGGAGGATCATTTGAGCCCAGGAGTTCAAGGCTGCAGTGAACTGTGATTGTGCCACTGTACTTCAACCTGGGCAACAGAGTAAGACCCTGTCTCCAAAAAAAAAAAAAAAAAAAGCAGTGAAACTCAGAAAGGAAAAAGTCTTTTAACAACAAGAGCATAAATAATGTATAAAACAAAACACGTTATTTTATATTCAACCACAAAAATTTGGCAAGGGAAGTTTATTGATGTCTATGATATCAGTGTCATAACTGAAGGATGCATTTTTTTAGTAAAGGGTGGCAAAAAAGGGTCTAACTTTTGTGGTCAATGCAAATTTGAGCATATCTATATACACTGAAGGGCCAGGGGTAGGGATGGGTTTTTCATAGAAGGGACTCATTTGCAAAAGGTGCCCAGGGACATACATAGGAAGAAATTCAGGTTAAGAGAAAAGAGTAAAGGCCAAAAGCAAGAGGTGAACTTGGGAAGAGAGGTGTGGTTTTGACATAGCTTCTCAGATTGCAATTTGGCCCATTCCTGAAGATGCATGCTGCACTTCTAGGGGGAACAATGTCTCCATTAAATATTGAATAAAAACA